ATTCTATTCTATTCTATTCTATTCTATTCTATTCTATTCTATTCTATTCTATTCTATTCTATTCCATCCCATTCTAATGATTTCTTCCAACAACCAGTTCACCAAAGTGCTCAGAAACGTAACAACCGGTTCTCCCAAAGTGGTGTGAACTGGCTGAATCCCACCACTGATAAGATCCCCTTTTGCAACCTTCTGACAAACAATGGAGAAGCCAGATTCACTTAACAACTGTGTTACAAATTTAGCAACGGCCATGATTTACCTAAGAACTGCAGCAAGACTTTTTGTAAAATGGAGCAAAATTCACTTAACAATTGTCTCACTCAGGAACAGAAATGTTGGGCTCTTTTGTGGTCATAACACGCTCTGGGGGCTTACAAAAGAAGGACACCCAACCCCAATTTTGCCACTGTTTTCTTTTCACCTGCATATATGTTTCAGTTCGCAAAGTGGTGGCCGCTTGCAGGCAGCTGAGACTGTATTCCATGTCTTGCTCCAGGGACAGCGAGTAGATGGAGAGGAACGGCATGGAGGGCTGAGGAGCAAATCACAGGAATTCATTCATACCCGAAGGAGGAGCAACTCAAGCAATCTGGACAACTGCAATGTGCTCTACATGGAGCTGCCCTTGAAGAGCATTTGGAAGCTTCAACTGCTGCAGAACGCAGTTAACCCAGGTGTAAGTGGTTTGAGTTACTCAGCGCATGAGACACCTCTGCTCTGTCAGCCGCAAAGGTTACAAAGGGTGCAATTCAAGGTTATCACCTTTAAAAGCCCTTTGTGGCTTGGGATTGTTTAGCCAAGGACTGTCTTCTTCCGATTGTTTCTATCCATCCAATCTGGTCTGGCAGGATGGGCTCTGGGCCCATCAGTCAAGGAATGTTGGTTGGCAGAGAATAGGAAGCAAGCATCCCTTTTCCGCCGTAGCCCCTGCCCTCTGGAGCATCCTCCCTCTGGAGATTAAGATGGCCTCAACTCTGTTGGCCTTTGGTAAAGCTTCCAAGTTCTGCCTTTGGAGATTCTCTATCATCCAGGTCATGGTTATCCCTAATGTGCTTTTCAAAAAACAACTGGGCTTTCTTGTTGTTGTTTTTCTCTTGAAACCATTTCGCTTCTCATCCATGAAACCTTTTCAGTTCTAACTGAATGCTGCGGAATTTATATTTATATTCTTTGCAGTTCCACAGCTATTTGCACTCTGATTCAGGTCGCCCTAAAGATTCAGATAATTGCCCCATCCCAGCCGGCCTCAATGACTCTCACAAAGAATGCTAAAGATCAGATGACTACAAAGAATATTAATCCTTCTTTTCCTCACCATTCAGTTAGAATTGAAGAAGCTTCTTGGATGAGAAGCGAAATGTTTTCAAGGAAAAAAAAACCAAGAAAGTCCAGTTGCCTTTTGGAAAAGCACCTTGGGGACAATCTTGAAGATCTGGTTATGTGCCCAGGCTCGAGTATGTGAAAAGTTATCTATATTTTTGTTATCTTAACGTCTATGGACCCTATTTTTATTGGCTGATGTATGCATTTAATTTTCAGTATTGTGATTGTAATTCATTTTCTAATTGATTTTATAGTTGCCCATCATCCAGTCACTTGATTGAGATGGGCAGCCATATACATTGAAAAAATAAAATAAAATATGCAATAAAATAACCTGGGAACCAGAAGGCAAATTCCAGACTTCTACTCCCATCTGCTACTCTGGAAATCCAAAGAGAATGAATAAATTTATACATCAAGCTCATGTCATTCTGGGTTTACCTCTTGAGTGACGGTTTGCTTGCAGGTGTTCACGATCTTCTGAAGTCCTTTGGAAAACTCGATTTCTGAGGAGAAAAAAAAGGACAAAAAAATACTGATCCAGGTTAGGTTTTGTTGACATCAAAAAGCAAGCATTCAGAGATTTCTCCCATGGCATTGAGAGTTGAAGAACCTTAATTTTTCTCTCCAGATCTCTGGAGAACAAGAAGGAGCTAGAAGTAAAACATTTCTGAATGTGCTTTGTCCACTAGTTGTTGTTTTTTTTGGTAGGGATAGATTTTAATTCAGGGCATGGATTCATGCCTGATCTGTATGCAGAAAATTCCACATTCATTCTTGGGCATTTTAAGGTAGGGCAGGAAAAGATTCAAAGCTCCCAATTATTGCTACAAAAGTAAACTGTAGCCTGGCAAAAGGAAGATGATAAAAACCAGCTTTTTGTCCACAGGAAGTTGCGGTATAGTTCCTGGAATGTATGGTTTAAAAGACTAGGTATGGTTTTCCTTGACTTACAACCATTTGTTTAATGACCGTACAAAGTTACAATGGCACTGAAAAAAGTGACTTATCGCTATTTTTCACACTTACAACTGTTGCAGCATCCCAGTGGTCACACGGTCAAAATTCGAATGCTTGGCAACTGGCATGTATTTATGATAGGCTGCATGTGACCATGGGATCCTGGGTTCATGCAATCAAACTTTGGTGACCTTCTGACAAGCAAAGCCAATGGGGAATCCAGATTCACTTAACAACCGTTTACTCACTTAACAACTGCAGTGATCCACTTAACAACTGAAGGAAGGAAAGTTGTAAAATGGGGCAAAAGTCATTCAACACCTGTCTTGCTTAGCAACAGAGATGTTGGGCTGAATTGTGGTGATAAGCCAAGGACTAGGTGTAGACTATATTGGATTAGATAGAACAGTGTAATGTTGGTTAGCTAGAAGGCCACACCGTCTCTTAAGGATTGAGGGCCAACAGTAGGTGGGGCCAGGACTATAAGGGAAAGTTTTAAGGCTGAAGTGAAAGAGTGGCTGATGGAAGAAAATTAGAAACTTATATTTCTTTATTTCTACATGTAGTTCTTGACTAATGGCTGTTCAAAGTTATGATGTAACCTGAAAAAGGGGCTTATGACCTGGTTCCAGTGTGGGTTTGCAGCACCTTGCAGTCGCATTACTGCAATTTATGGGAAAGCAGAATTTACTTCCAGTTTCCAGCATCAATGACCCCCATGGCAAAAAATGGGTTTATTTAACAACTGCAGCGATTTCTTTAGGACTGCAGCGTTTGCTTAATGATCAGCGCAAAAAAGACTGTAAAATCGAGTCCAGTCATGTGGTGACCCATTTTACAACAGTCGCAACTTATGACCCTAATTGTGGGGCTCAATTACAATCATAACTCAAAAGGACTACCTGTATTTCAATTTGGCAATGCGGGTATTCCTTGACTTCTCACCATAAGTGAGCCCAAAAGCTCCACTGATAAGCAAGACAGTTGTTAAGTGAATTTTGCTCCATTGTTGGAACTCTTTTTTTGCCACAGTTGTTAAGAGAATCACTGCAATTATTTAGTTATTGACACGGCTTCCCCACTGACTCTTCTTCTCAGAAGGTCTCAAAAGGTGATCACATGACCCCAGGACACTGCAACCATCATAAATACATGCCGGTTCCCAAGCCTACGAATTTTGATCACATGACCATGAGGATGCTGCAAACAGCTGTAAATGTGAAATTAGCTTCTTTAGACACTCGGTATCTTTAGATGGTCACTAAATGAATAGTTGTAAGTCAAAGACTACCTGTACTGGTAAGTATTAGGGTTTCTTTGCTCATTGATTTTATAAAACATCATAGAATAATGAAGACCAGGGGTATCAAACTTGATTTCATTGAGGCCCACATCAGGGTTGTTTGACTTTGACCTCAGGGGGTGGGGCCGTGGCCAGGGTGGGCGTGGACTGCTTGACATCACTTGTGTCAGGGACGCCTGTGTTGACCCAAGTGCTCTGCCAGCAAAAACAGGCTCCCAAGCTCTGTTTTCAGCTGCAACGGCCTCCTGCAGCCCTCTGCCAGCAAAAACGGAGCTCCAGTAGGCCACACACAGCCCTCACAAGCTCCATTTTCGCTGGCAGAGGCACCGCGGGCGGGTGCTTAGCTGTTTCCAGGTCGGCTCTGCAGGCCAGATCTAAGCACCCCGTGGCCGGATCCAGCCCATGGGCCTTGAGTTTGACACCCCTGATGTAGATCTTGACTGCAGACTTTGGCACTATAGATACTAAAGGCACAGAATTAACTTAGCTATTCTCCTTCACTGTCAACTCACCCAGAATCGTCCTCTTCTCCATATAATAGATAAGATCCTTCATGTACTTGGAGATGCTCTTGGCATATTTGAGGGCAAAGTCTACCCCTCCATCACACTTCTGAAGGAGCACGTTCACCTCTTCAACTGACAGGCGTGCTGCATCGCATGAAAAGTAGCAAATGAGTGATTATCATCTTATTCTTTTGTTGCCAAAATCTAATTCTGTGCAGCCCTAAAAATAGGCTCATTTCACATGGCTCTTCAGCTAATGTCAAAAGCGACTCTTTCTGAAATTGATAAAAGACTGATTACATCAACATTCTTTTCATGCAGCAGTTTCCAAATACCACAAACAGCATCGTAATGCAACAGCTACTTTTGTAACGCTTAATTGTGTGAGCACTGATGGAGAGCAAGGAAGAAGGATGAAAAGAAAACCTGAGCTCCAAAATGCAAAATATCAGAGAGAACTTTCTGCACAGCTGAGCTGTAGCATTTTCTGCTCAGTTTTAAGTCAGCCCAAAATTGTTGCAGCATGAAATTTGCTGCCTTCCAAGGTAATGGTTGATGTAGCCTAATACATTTTAATTGCCTTTGGTTAGTATCAGAGTAAGGATGAAAAGTTTACTTCAACACTGATATAGCCAAAGATAATTCAAACTCATGTTTCACTTTTGAGCTAAGAATGGAATGAAACTGATGTTATGGAAACAGAGCAGAATTGAGAGGTCGGCAGGACAAGCGTGTGCAATAATTAGGAGCATGAGAAAACATTGAATTATTTTTCTTCTAGGTATGATGGGTAAGCAGTTGGGAGGAAAAAATGGCACTTTCTTTTATATATGATAACAGCAAGATACCCTTGTATGCACAGAAATGGAAAGATTTGCAGATCCCCACAATGGGGTAATAAATTAAACTACTTTAATTAAAGAAAAGACTGTCTCGCTTTGTTTCCATCTGAAAATCACTTTTGGATTCTTTGCTTCAGAAAAAAAATGCTATATTAATTTGGGGATTTGACTATTAGACTTGTTCAGCATTATAGAAATATTGAATGTTACTCAATTTCAGATCAAAAGATTAATATATTTTATGTCTATGGAGATTCTCAGTCACCCAGGTCATGGTTCTCCCAAAGGTGCTTTTTCAAGAGGCAACTGGATTTTCTTTGAAGACATTTCACTTCTCATCCAAGAAGCTTCTTCAGTTCAGACTGGATGGTGGGGGAATGGAAGGATTTATACTCCTTACAGTCAGCTGGTCATTTGCATTCTTTTAGTGAGTCATTAAGGTCACCTGGAGGTTCATCTGTGTCCTCAGGGTCACCTGAGTGGTGCAAATGGTTGTGGAGGCTTCTTGGAATTGTTGAAAGGACTGTGTTGTAGATTGGAGATAGACAATGTCTGATCCCCCCCCCCTCTGTTAAGAGAAGGCTATTCAATTTTGACACAAATGGCCTCTTTGACCCCTCGTTCAAACCAGCGGTCCTCTCTGTCCAAAATGTGGAGTTTGCTCTCTTCAAAAGAGTGGCCTGTGTCTTTTAAATGTAGATGGACTGCTGAATCTAGTCCTGATGTGTTTGTTCTTCTATGTTGTGCCATACCAGCTGTCTGCAAGGAGTATAAATCCTTCCATCCCCCTACCATCCAGTCAGAGCTGAAGAAGTTCTTGGATGAGAAATGAAACATCTTCAATGAAAAAAACAGAAAGTCCAGTTGCCTCTTGAAAAAGCACCTTTGGGACGACGTATCTTACGTTTGCAATTATTGAAAAAAATCCAGATTCTTTTTTATTTTCCTTCTTCCTCTTTTTTTTACACTTTTTCTATTTTTCCTTTTTTAAAATATATTTTATTCTTTATGGAAATTTAATCACACATATTTTTTAAAAAAGAAAAAGCATGAAAATGATATCAACATTATTTTTCTATGTTTCATAAATGCAGAATTCTGTGCAATTCATGAGAAGTCAGTAAGGGAATAAAAATTATAATAAAGATGGTTCTTACCTGAACTGAAATCTTCCCTACCATGCAGCACATCTTCTGCTCCCAAACTTGTAATGCCCCCATATAGATTTTCCACTGACTACAAGTAAGGGGAAAAAAAGTTACTCTTTAAGGACACCTCTATGATGTCAGCTTTCTTATTTTATCCTTGCCAAAGTTTTCCCTTTTTACGGAGACAATAATGCCTTAGTTCTCTTGCTCCGTCAGAAAATGACATAGGTAAAAAAAGTGAATGAAACAAAAACATATGGTTTCCTTGTTCGCCCTGTCCTTCTGAAACAATTTATACTGAAAGATATAAGGGACTCTAAAATTCTTTAGCAGAAACAGTACCTTGGAAATCGTATATTCTTTTTATTTTTTAATTAGTTTATAGTGCCACATGCTACAATTTTCTATAGCTTTTAGTTCCTTAGTCCCAGAACTGGTCCTTCAAATTCCAAGCGGTTGCCATGGTGGCATTGCCAATTAAAGAGCAAAACCTTCTTGTAGGGCAAGGTGGTTGAAGATGATTAAGGGGGAGGATTATACCACTTTAGAGACCTCTCTTCTAAAAAATTGAGTGGGTGGATCTTCTAGCCTTTTTTATTTGTAGGAGCTAGAGCACCAAACTTGGGAGCTTTGGTTGTACCTCAACCAGCAAGATCTATTCCCTGCTCTGAAAGTCACTTATAGTGTTTAAAAAAAGTTGAAAAACAGAAGAACAGGTTGGAAGGAACCTTGGAGGAATTCTAGTCAAGGGGTCTCCAACCTTGGCAATTTTAAGACTTGTGGACTTCAACTCCCAGAATCCCGCAGCCAACCTTGGAATTGAAGTCCACAACTCTTAAAGTTGCCAAGGTTGGAGACGCTTCTTCTAGTCCAACCTCCTGCTCAGGTAGGAAACCCTACACCCATGATGGCAAACTTATGGCACATGTGCCAAAGGTGACACATAGAACCCTCTCTGTGGACACGCACGCAGGCCAGTTAGTCTTCAGGTTTCTGGCGCTCCAGCATGTGTGAAGACCAGCTGGCTGGCACATGCATGAGTACCAGCCAGCTGGTCTTTGGTTTCTGGCACGCGCAAAGGCCAGCTGACCAACGTGCGCATGGACACCGGCCAGCTGGTCTTTGGGTTTGCAGAGCTCCAGCGCGCACGAAGACCAGCTCACCAGCACATGCATATGTAGTGGCCAGCTGCTCTTTGGTTTCCAGTGCTCTGGCACCCATGCACGTGCGCCCACGCGCCTGCGTTCTGGTTTGTGCACTTGATGCCTAAAAGGTTTGCCATCACTGGCCTATACCATTTCAGACAAATGGTTGTCCAATCTCTTCTTAAAAATCTCCAGTGTTGGAGCCTCCACAACTTCTGGAGATGGTTGCACAACAGATGCCTAGAGAAAGACCAGCTGTTCCATCATGATTTAGAACCAAAATGTTTAGTGTTTCTTAGGCCCCAAGAATTATTTGGAATTAGGATACAAAGAAAAAAAAATATTTTTTTTCTCAGCTCAGGATCCTTTTCTTCTGAAATACCAGAGGTTAAACCCACTGCTTTCTCATTCAAAGCAGGACTGTGTCCCTCCCGGGCAATGAACCGAGGGGCTCACCTGATTCAGATCGGAAAGAGGAATTGAAAGGATGGTACTACTGTCCACCTCTCCCATGAGGAATTCAGAGACACTGGAGTGGGGAAGAAAACCAAAACAGGAAAAAAGTTGATATAGTAGGAAGTAACTAACAAGTTAGTAGCAGCAGCCAAAACCATCACTGAGCCTCAGAAAGAGGCTAATAGTGACATTTTGCTTGCCAGTGTTGATTGCACAAACAACACTTGCTCCACTCTTCAACTGTTTGAATTTACAACTCCCCTCATCCCCTATCATAAATGGTAATGGTTGGGGGTGATAGGAAATGTAGTTCTATTTATCAGGAGCTTTGAGGTCTTGTGGTCCAGCATCCTACATCAGATTTATTCTCTATTCAGCATTATAACACAAATGCTACTCAGAATTGCACCATACCAGTAAATGCAAAAATCAGCATCTGAGGCCCCCGGCATTACTATTTTAACTCTCACCAAACAGCATTTTTCTTATTTTTTTAGATTTTTCTTCTAAACATTATATAGAGTAGTGAAACGGAACATTAATGTTTAAAGTATTAGCTTTATCTCTTCATGGGAAAGAAAGAAACTCACACTTATTACTCTTTTTTTTAGAACAGAGGTCTCCAAACTTGACAACTTTTAAGATTTGTGGACTTCAATTCTGGGAGTTGAAGTCCACCAATCTTAAAGTTGCAAATATCTATGGAGATTCTCAGTCATCCAAGTCATGGTTGTATCAAAGCTACTTTTTCAAAAGGCAACTAGTTTTTTTTTGTTTTTCTTTGAAGACGTTTCGCTTTTCATCCAAGAAGCTTCTTCAGCTCGAAGCTTCTTGGATGAGAAGTGAACCGTCTTCAAAGAAAAACAAGAAAAGTCCAGAAAAAGCACCTTTGGGTTAAAGTTACCAAGTTTGGAAATGCCTGTTTTAGAATCATAAGAGTAAGAAGGTGCCATTTAATTCCTCACTGCAGAAATTCCAATTAAATATCTCTAATATTGAGGTTTTTTCCCCCTTTGACTTGGGCTGCTTTTCTATGATCATGATGTTGATGTAATTTGTAAATAGAAGTTTAACAGGATTAAACTACTTGTAAAGAAGTTATGAGGACGTACTATCATGGAGAATTTCAAGCAGAGGCATTTCTTAGATATTTTAACACTGAACTGCTTACATCCAACTAGGACCAGTGAAGAAGAGTGTGAAATGGGTGGTGTCCATAGATGCTCTAATTCTATATTCCGTTATTCTAAAATCTGTTAAGTAACTGTCAGAGTATATTCATGAATTGGAATAGAGCTTGGTAACAAGGTCAGCCAATGAATAGGCATAGCAACTAAGTCAGCCAATGAGGACTGTTTTGGAAACTGAAACTAGAATTAGCCTAGGCTAGAAACTGAAACTAAAAGTAGCCTAGGTGTGGCTTTATATTAAGCTCTGCAGCTATGTTGAGCTCTTGCTTGCCTGCTGAACTAAAGTAAAAGACAAACTAACTTGCTTGCTGAAGACTGGAGCTCTGCTCTGAACTTGCAACATGTTTCTGTCTGAGTTTGCTCCATGTTGGAGAAATCTACAACTGGTTTGTAAAATCTATTTATTATGTTTATAAAGGTGTTAAATGAAGCATCAGCCCTCTGTGTTTATTTTTCTGGCGCTGAATTAACACTGCCAAATTCTGAACAGTAGCCATCAAAAATGGTCTTGGAGATGATATTTTGCTTACGTGCTACTGAAGGAGACTGCAATCATCTCCACGGCCTTTTCAAATTCACGTTTTTCAGCTTCGTTGTTAGACTCATAGTGAAAGCCTAAAAATGCAAATGGAAAAGGAAACCATGACACTCTCCCCAACTCATCAATCTTAAAAGGCATCCTACAGGATACGCAACCTAACTGTAGAGCTGTAGCACAATACTGTACATTTCTGTGTGTTTTCTAATGCTCCCCATGTGGGGGCTGGGGTGGAAAGGAAAAGCGACAAGGCAGCACTTCAGAGCAATACAATAAAATCTTCAGTGTGGGGGAAAAAGAATTATTTAGAAGAATAATTATAGTTTTCCTCTTGTTCTTTTATTTTGCAAAGCGGCAATCTTAACAGGGATTTAAATCTGTCATTTAAATACTTATCCCAGGGGAATTGTACTGATGCAGAATTATAAGTGATCCTTGAGTTACCACCATTCATTTAGTGGCTATTAGAAATTACAAAAGCACTGGAACTTTCTTACTATATAGGTTGGCAGCAGCAAGGCTTCCAAACATGGAAGGACACTTCAATTCCTATCATGAATAAATGGTTGCAGAACAGTGGTGGGATTCAATTTTTTTTTTACTACCGGTTGTCTGGGCGTGGCTTGGTGGCTGTGGCAGGGGAAGGATACTGTAAAATCTCCAGTCAGAGGTAGTATTTGCTGGTTCTCCAAACTACTCAAAATTTCCGCTACTAATTCTCTAGAACTGGTCAGAACCTGCTGAATACCACCTCTGTTGCAGAAGCTGATGGAGTCGGCTGAAATTGCAAAATTGACTATTTTGATTAAAGAAAGAATATAAATACTTTTGTTTCCACATGGAGACCGCTTCTGAACTTTGTGCTTGAAGTGGAACAGAATGAAGCTTTGATTTTGGGTTTTACCAATTAGACTGATGGATCTTTATAGAAATGGCTAGTTTATATTATGATGAAAAAACAAAAAGTTGCGATTTGATGTTAATGCTTTATTTTACTGCAATGGAGAGAGTCGGAAGTCAATGCTGATGCTTCTTTTTCCTAATCCTTCAGAGGTGGTATTCAGCAGGTTCTGACCAGTTCTGGAGAACCGGTAGCAGAAATTTTGAGTAGTTTGGGGAACCGGCAAATACCACCTCAGACTGGCTCCACCGCCATCTATTCTGTGCCTCCTGAGTCCCAGCTGATCGGCTGGGTCTTCTTTTGTTACCCTGCACAGGAGAACGGATCTGGAAAGCAGGTTAGTGGGGTGGGGAGGGAATGGGGATTTTGCAGTAACCTTCCCCTGGAGTTGGGTGGGAATGGAGATTTTACAGTATCCTTCCCCTACCATACCCACCATGCCATGACCATCAAGCCATGCCCACAGAACCGGCAGTAAAAAAAATTTGAATCCCACCACAGTAATCCTTCCTCGCTCTTCTTCCGCCCCTTCCTTCCCACTGTTTTCCTATTTTCTTTTGTATTTTAGATCTTATTTAATCTTATAACTCAATAAAAATGTTAACAATGAGAAGTGACAAAGCAGTGAAAACAATTGACGTATGACTGGTCCTTGCACTTCACAACTGTCGCAATAACCCCATGGGGACATGCTCAAAATTGGGGTGCTTGACGACCAGCATGTAGTTATGACAGTTACAGTATATCTTGTGGTCATTTGCAACCTTCTCAGCAAGCTTTTAACAATCAAAGTCAATGAGGGAAGCCAGATTTGCTTAATGACTGCAGATACACTTAAAAACTGCAGTGAACCACTTAACTTCAGTGGCAAAAAAAAGCCATAAAATCAGGCACAACATTTAACAGCCGTCTTGATTAGAAATGGAAATTCAGCTTCCGATTGGGGTCGTAAGTCGAGGACTAGCTTTATGGAGGAATCTGTTGCAACAGCTATAGCACACTAATTGATTACGCAAAATCAATCCTTGGATCCTAGGGCAGAACCATCCTTGCATGAGTCATTCTTTGATACTGAACCCTCACTCATAATCCCTGGGAAACTGAAATTCACTTAAATTTTTGCTCGAGGGATACACTATCACTCAATTGTCCAGGGTTTTTCTTTCTCCAAAGATCACTATATGGCAGATGTCATGAACATAAAGCTTCTCTCATTTTTGTGGTTAAACTGTTCAGGATACAGGAAACCAAGTCAGCAGCAGAAAACAAACATTTTGGTTCTGCTGAACTGCAGAAGCTGCCATTCTCTGCCTACCACTTCCTCCTCAGCTCCTCCGATATGATTCAGAGCACAAAAAAAGTCAATTCCTTTGATGCCAAGATGAAAAAAGAAAGTGTCTCACCTCTATAAATACTTCTATGTGCCATAGTAAAGACTTATTTTGGCAATTCACAGAATCTTTAGAGCAGGAATGTTCAACCTTGGTCATTTTAAGACTTCTGGACTTCCAACTCCCCAAATTCTAGTCTAGGACATTCCTGCTTTAGAGTCAGAATCTACGGTACTTCAAAATTTTCCAGATTATTCTGGTCACCGCAAGTTTGTTACACCAGATTTAGTCCTTTCTTAAATATATACATTAAAGATTTTATTTCTGAAAAATCTGCGCTATTCAGTTTGGTACAAGAAGGCACCCAACAATTGTTAGTTGTTACTATTGAAAAATAAGAATTGGTTCAAACATCTTATCACTTTTATACTTCTTTTCAGAAAACTAGAAGAACATTTGATTCTTATCTAGGTTGGAATACATCTATGTTTATAAATATTTACAATCTTCAGACCTGAACCTAAATCATTTTTAATTTTAATTTTTATCCAGGTTTGGAGTTGAAGACTGAAAAAGCTAAAATTACCCAAGATATTATAAAGTAAGATGAGCTCCTCTCTCATTTTTTTAAGTTCCATTTTTAATTCCACAAGGAGTATTGCCATTTTAAACACTTTTAAACAACCACCTGATTGATTTTAATTCAAACCATTAAAAATCCAACACCCAAAATTCCAAAGTTCACCAAGCAATCCAAAACTGTTTCTTCTTGCTTCTTTCTTCCACTTTTCCTTTCCAGGGGCTCTGTTATATTGTAACAACTTTCCTCCTTTTGAGGGCTTTGGAGCATCCAAAAGATCTTTATTTTCCCTTTGACACTTTAACTTCAGCTTAAAATTTGCCTGTTTGTGTCAAAGTAGATTAGCACAAATTTCTTACTTGAATCTCTTCTTTTTAGCATTCAAAGCCGATTGTAACTGTCAATTTGGGAAAGAAGAAAAAAAATCATTTTTCTTTTTCCCCTCTCTTCTCCGCCGCTTTAAAAATCTTCTTTTAGGAATAACACTCTTAATAATTTTAGTTTCAAGGTACCTTGCATAGATGTTATCTCTGCTTAGCCCCGTCTGTCGAGCTCTTCCCTTTGTCTTCACTCCTGCACAATCTTGTCAGGTCGGGTTTCTCTTTGAGGTGGCCATTTCTGACCACCGCTACAACCGCCTTCGGGAAAGGGAGTAATACCAAGCCGAGGAGGAGAGGTGCGGCTCCCCTCAACTCCTCTGGGGATCTCCTCCCTCTTTGCCACCTCTACGGGGTGGCTTCAGCGCTGAATCCAGAAGATCGGAGCGCTCTGGTGGCAAGCATGGATTGAAATCGCCCACGATCACGGATTTCAATCCATCCCCGAAGAAGCCCAAACTGAAGAGTCGCAAGAGAGAAGAGGATCCTTTGGCTCACACTTCAATTTTTAGAAATTGAGATTTTAAACTATGAAAACAACAAGAAATGCTTGAAGAACAAGAAGGGCTGGACAAAGAAGAATCCATCTTTAACGATCAAACAATGCAATGTGGGGTAAAATGGAAAAAGAGAGAAAAAGGAGTTAAAAACACAAGATTTGAGGAAACAACTAAAAAAAAGAATAGTTCGAAAAGTAAACATAACATTAGGAAGAAGCCGAAGAGAGGATTACAGAAGGGAGAATCGGGGGGGGGGGGGGGGGAGACACAAAAATGGTGGTGAGAAAAAGAGGGGACAGATGAAAAGGAAAAGAAGTTATAAGGGACAGAAACAGGAAAAAAAGAAACGGGAAACGTATAAGGATTAAAGGTGTTAGCCTATTTAAAAGACACAGAGATAATGGTTAAAATACAAATTAAAAGAGAGGATTCTGCACAGGTACAAGAGATAGTGTTGTTATATTAGAAATAGTAATGAGCAAGAAAATAGGAAACATAGGTGATTAAAGTGAAAGATAAAACTGGTATTGTTATGTAATGGAATGCTTGTTAACAATTAAATGAAATAGAGAAAGGGAATCAAAGTGAAAGAAGAATGGAAAAAAATACTTTAATTGTTTTTAATGATTTATAAAATATAATTGAAAAGAAGTGTGAAAGATTTATAATGAAATCAATATCAGTTGTCAGTATGAATTTGAATAGAATAACCATTTTACTCATTGTTTTTATATATTTTTTCTTTTTTTAGAAGTTAGTGTGTATTTTTAAGGGAAAGTATCAAGCAGAATTCGGTTGACAAGAGTTATATGATATAAAATAGATATTAGAAGCTGAATATTATAATTGTATAACGTATAAATTAAATGTTTAATGAGATTTGAAAGGATAACAATTATAAGATATAAAGGTGACACATTCTAATTGGTAATCATAAGGGAAACTTTGCTTTTTAATGCCTGGAAGGGGAGGGAATTTTCTTTTTTCTTTTCCCTTTCAGGATGATGATGGGAAAAGAATGTATGAAATTGTAAAAGGACAGACAAAAGTACAAGTATAATGACTAGAAAGATATAGAAATTTAGAAAAAGATACGTAATTGAATTAGAAGGGATTGAGATAATTATAAAATAAGGTTGAGGAAATTAAGGGAAGGGTAAATTATTGAGAAATAGATAAAATAGTGACAAGATATGAAATTGAATACAAAGATGAATATGTAATTGAGATTATATCTGTACGGAGATGTGATAACCTGGAATCATGCTGTTCTCTAAAAAAAGATGTTCTATTTTTAATATGTTTTGTGAAAACCCAAATAAAACTTTTACAAATAAATAAATAAATAAAGTAAGTAAGATGAGGTCCAGGATGAAAAAAGGCTTTCTTTCATTTAATTATTACCAATTTTAATAGCATTGATTATTCTTCCATTATGTATTTAATCACATTTCATTTATCACTGTAAAATTATAATTTGGAGATTTGGGTTGAGCATGCATTTGAAGTTTCATGGTCAAAATGGACTCTGGAATCAATTGTGAACAGAGAAGACTTGTAAGAAACATGGGTAGAATTCATTATGATTAATAGGACGATTCCCCCCACTTAAAACCTTTGGTTTAACTTATTTTGTGCTATCTTTTAAATAGTGTGAATATTCACATTGAAACTGTACATAATTTTTCTCCATTTTCTCCAAATTTTGATGCTTATTCATTTCAAAATTGGACAAGTACATAGTCAGAAAGGGAAGGATTAGGGACCTATATCATCAAACATGGTTCTGCCCATCTGATTCAAATATCTAGGAATGAGTCTTCTGAGAGCTTCAACTCACAAGGTTGTGGGTCAGATGATATCAGACCAGTGGTGGGATTCAAATTTTTTTACTACCGCTTTAGTGGGCATGGCTTGGTGGGCATGGCATTGCTTGGTGGGTGTGGCTTGGTGGCGTGGCAGGGGAAGGATACAGTAAAATCCCCATTCCCTCCTCACTCCTGGAGGAAGGTTACTGCAAAATCCCATTCCCTCCCCACCCCACTAACCTGCTTTCCAGATCCGTTCTCCTGTGCAGAGCTACCACAGAAGACCCAGCCAATCAACTGGAACTCGGGAGGCAGAGAATAGATGGGGGCAGGGCCAGTCAGAGGTGGCATTTGCTAGTTCCCCGAACTACTCAAAATTTCCACTACTGGTTCTCCAGAACTGGTCAGAACCTGCTGAATACCACCTCTGTATCAGATTCTACATTATGGAATATATGCTCTCGATTTTTCAATGAAACTTGAGTTGACCTTTGATCACGTCTTTCGATTACCATCTTCATGTTTTTTTTAACCATATTTTGCAGATATGACCTGCCTATTGCAATGGGCCTTTTACCCATAATGTTTTTGCTTTTTAAAAAATTATTTTAGGGGATGTTTGGAACCTTCTCCTATATTTTTATTGTGTAGCACTCTGAATTGTGCTGCTTGGGTAGCATATAAATACTGTAAAATAAATAAGCAGCAAAAAAAAAAACCCCAGACACATACAGGTAGTCCTCATCTTATCCTTTGTTTAATGACTATTCAAAGTTATAATGGCACTGAAAAAGTGACTTATGACCAATTGTCACATTTATGACCATTGTAGTATCCCCACAGTCACCTGAACAAACTTTGGGTGTTTGGCAACTGGCATGTATTTAGGATGATTGCAGTACCTTGGGGTCCTGGATTATCATTTGCAACCTTTCTAGGGAGCTTCTGACTAGCAAAGTCAATAGCAGAAGCCAGATTTGCTGAATGACTGCATGATTCACTTAATTGTATTGACTCGCTTAAGAATCATGGCAGAAAAAGCTGGTAAAATTGGGTATGGCTCATTTAACAACTGCCTTACTTAGCAACAGAAATTTTGGGCTCAGTTTATTTTATTTATTTATTTATTTGATTTGTCAATCGCTTACAAGGTAATGCATATAAGTATAAACATGAGTAAGGTTATAGGAAATAGGTACAAATAAATGGGGATAAAATTACAGGGATGGTAGGCACGATTTTGTACTTATTGCGTGCCCCTTACAGACCTCTTAGGAATGGGGTGAGGTCAATAGTGGTTAGTTTGAGGTTAAAGAAGTGGGGGTTAGAGGATGTAACAACAGAGCCAGGTAGTGCATTCCAGGCATTGACCACTCTGGTGCTGAAGTCTTACTTTCTGCAATCAAGTTTGAAGCGATTTAGATTGAGTTTGTATTTGTTGTGTGCTGTTGTATCGTTGTGGCTGAAGGTAAAGTAGTCATTGACTGGTAGGACATTGTAGCAGATAATTTTATGTGCTACACTTAAGTCTAACCATAGGTGGCGTAGTTCAAGGTTGTCCAAGCCCAAAATCTCAAGCCTGGTGATATAGGGTATTCTGTTGCAAGCAAAGGAGTGTAGTACTCTTCTCGTGAAATACTTCTGGACTCGCTCGATTGTATTAATGTCTGATATGCAGTGTAGATTCCAGACTGATGAGCTGTATTCGAGTATTGCTGTTACAGTGAGCTCTGGCGCTTGGATCATTTGATATGAGAACTCCAAGGTCCTTGACAGAGTGAAGATCATCAACAAGGTCATTTCTGCCTACTTTGTATTTGGTGTACTGATTTTTTTTACCTATGTGTAGAATTACAATGTGAATACAATGTTGTACTCATAAATTGAGGACTACCTGCATAAAAGTAAATTTACTGTCCAGGAAGAATGAATTAAAATGCAGACCAAACAAATATTTGCTAACATCTCTACTCAGCAATCTAGGGCACACACACTATAATACTAAGGGAACATTTATTCCAGAGGTTATTAATTTGGTTCACAAAATGTGCTAACATTTAATGATTTGTTAACTAGGCCCTAATTTATTGCATCTGCATGCACACTAGGCCACAAGCTGTGGTTTATAAGCCACAACATCTGGATTCACACATTATATTAAATCAAAACCAAGCATATCACATATAGCTCAGGACAGTTGTAAAGCCTGCATATATTCATAATGCTGGGCTCACAGGTTATCTAAAGTATGCCATGTTGACACCGTGAGCATCCTGACCTCCATGGGCAGATGACGCAAATAGCATAATTTGCAACAATCATGTTGTGCAGATTATATAATTCACATCATTTATAGGATGACACTATGACACATAAAATGTTACTTGCCTTCTTTAGGTGCCCTAAAACAAAGAGAGTAGGATACTGAAGTTAAGTGTTTTTCTAACTTGAAAACCTTAAGATCTGTAGATTTCAGCTGGCTGGGGAATTCTGGGAGTTGAAATCCATACATCTTGAAGTGGTCAAGTTTGAAAAACACTACATTGGACATTCTTCCTAGTCATGCTTTAAAGAGCACTGTCAACTCTGAGATTCATCATTGCCATAGAGTTCTGGAGGGAGGAAGTGATGTATTGAATAGCTCTTAGGGAAAAAAAAGAAAAATTATTATGAGTTATTAGTTCAAGGTCACAGAGAGTGGCATAGCAAAGAATTGAGAATGCAGATCATTGGTTCATGTGATTGATGAGGTGTGAAAAAGGAGGTGGAGGTAGGTGGAATTTTGTGGGATGAGCTGGTAGGATTCCAGTACTGAAATTCCACCGGATGATACCAGTCTTTTTTTTTTGTTTTGAATAAACCATTTGAGAATATGTCTGTCTCGGAGTTAATGTTTCAAACGAAGGATTGCTGGAAGTCTGACAAGCACACTCTTAAGGAGTGTGAGATCAAATCCAGGACCAAGCTAAGTTCCTGGTAAGAACATCCCCTCACTGACCTTTGACCCTGGAGATGAGGGTCCCGGCTGCAGTCAAGGTCTCCAAAGTGTTGAGCAGTGGGTACTTGCTAATGACTTGCCGAAGAATTCTTAAGGCTTCTCCAAGACATTCATGGGCGAGTGACCGTCGAGATTCTGGGCCATCTGCAAAAGGAAGAAAAAAATAAAAAAAAATTCAGAGAAGCCCCAGGGCTTTGATAAAACATCTGACTGACTGCGTGACCAACTGTAATAATAACACAACTGCTGATATGAAAGGCAAAAAAGTCCGGATAATGGATGTTACAGAACCTGGAGGGAGCAGAATAAAAGAAAGAACTGGAGAAAAATCACAAAAATACAAAGACCTACAAATAGAAGCAGAACAACCATGGCAAAAGAAAGCCAAGGTAGTAACAATAATTGTAGGTGCCTTGGCTGCAATCCCAAAAATCTGGAGTGCCCGTTGAATACCATCGGCATTGACAAAATCTCCATCAGTCAATTGCAAAAGGCAGCTTTACTTAGAACAGTTTACATCCTGCCATGGTACCTTTAACTCCATCAAACAACATGTGTCTATCCCAGATCCTTGGAAGGGACTCAAAAGGTACACAAAATATGCCAAATTCAATCTAAACATACAGCTGACTGTGTGACAAACCATAATAAAACAACTGTCGACAAGAAAGACGAAGAACACTAGATAGTGGCTGCTGCAGTATTTGGACACAACACAATAGAAATTATCTTTTCTCTCGGGCCAGTTCCATTCTTTCTATGTCCAGTCTTCAGCTCCTGTTTTTTGGAATTCCTCAGAGCTCCATTCTCTATTTACTATTGAAGGGCCACAGGATGAGCTTATCCTTCAGCATGAGATTAAGTATTCTCAATATCCTGATGATACTCAATTGTTTATCTCTGTCTCTGGCTGGCCCAGGGATCCTGTTTCAGTGCTCTATCATTGCCTGAAAACTGGGATAGTTCTGGATAGGGAAGGATAGATTTCAACTCAACCTGAGTGTTTCGGGCCCCTTAAGGTCCAGATCCAGAGAATTTCCAACTTTGGTTGTGACTGGGGCTGCATTACCCCACTGACAGCCTGTGATTTGAACTCACAACTCTCCTTGAACAGCAGGTGGCAGCCGTTTCCAAGAGGGCCTTTGCAGAACTCCATCTTGTATGCCAGCTGCACCTGTTTCTGATCTGAGAGTGCTCTAAATAGTCACTCCTGCCTTGGTTATCTCCCAGAGGGATTTCTCCAAAGTACTGTACATGGGGCTACCCTTGAAGACCTTCTGAAAGCTGCAACTGTTCCAGAATGCAGCAGTGCACATAATAATGGCCATGGATGCACTTTAGTAATCCCTATTAGGGGGAGTTGCACTGGTTCTTGATAGCCTTCCAAATGTAATTTTTTTTTTTTAAGTATTTATTGATGTTTTTAATAAACATAGTACTGTACAGGTGATTCTCGACTTATGACCGGTTGCTTAGTGACTATTTGAAGTTATGACATACCCTCAAAAAGGTACTTACAACCCAGATGGTGATGGTTCTGATGGTGTTTGGGGCACTCAGCAACTGGGCCTCATGTATGGCTCTTTGCAACGTCCCATGGTCTTGTGACCTGCCCCCCCCCGCCCAGTTATGATGTTTTCTTTACTGGAAACTAGTATTTACTTTTAGTTTTCAGCAGAAAATGCCCATTACAGAAAGTGAATTTGCTTAATGGCCACAGCGTTCACTTAACTGCAGGTTCACTTAAGAACCATGGTAATTCACTTAGAAATCATGGTGATTCACTTAACAACCATGGTGATTCACTTAACAGCCATGGTGACTTAATAACCACTGCAAAATTGTCATAAAATCAAGCCCTTCCTGTGCTTTTGCCAACAACACAGCTTACGACCCTAAGGGGTAAACGCCATTACACTTGTAAATAGGTGACTACCTGTAAAAACTTAACCTAATTTAAAAAATGAACGAGAAGAAAAAAGAAAAATTCAGAAGATGCAGAAAAACTATTCTATCCTGGTTCAGTAAAAAAAAATCCATTAGGAGTCACCAGAAATATCAAACAAATAGTTTCTCCTTGGTCAAATAGTCCAACTTTATATTCCTTCTTTTTGCACTACATAATCTTGACGTTTAAATCATTCCAATGGCATTGCAGGATTTGATCTTTCTTGATTCTTTGGTATTTTAAAGATGCTTCAAAGCTTTCAACAGACCTTGTCTAGGATTTTTGTCTCAGTTGTTCCATGTCCAAAAGCTTTTCTTAATTTGTCTTTTGAACTTCTATTTTAGTAATCTCAAATCTTTGTTATTTTCCATACCTTCAACCTCTCTTAGGCTTATGTCAGCTACAATTTTTACAAAACTTTTCTCATTGTCTTCTAAAAGTTTATCCATTAAAATTTACATCCTTTCTGAGATATTAGTTATTAATGCAGATAGTCCGTGACATATAACCTCAATTGAGCCCCAAACTTTTGATATTAAGAGAAACATTTATTAAGTGAATTTTGCCTCTTTTTTATGATGTTTCTTGCCTCAGTCGTTAACTGAACTGCTGTGGTTGTTAAGTTAGTAACAGAGTTGTTAAGTGAATCTGGCATCCCCATTGATTTTACTTGGAAGAAGGTTGCTAAAAGTGATCACACAATCCTGGGACACTCCAACCGTCATAAATATGAATCAGTTACCAAGCATCTGAATTTTGATCATGTGACCATGGAGATGCTGCAATGGTTATAAGGGTGAAAAATGGTCATAAGTCACTTTTTTCACTTCACAACTACAGTGATTCATTTTAGGACAAAAGTCATAAACTCACTTTGCTTTGTAACAGAAAGTCTGGTCCCAATTATGGTCATAAGCTGAGGATTACCTGTACTTTTTTTTAGTGTCCACCCAATAGTTTGGAGTAAACCTCTCACAATATCCTGATGGTGGCCTTATAGACTGAGGAGGGTGAGAATTGTAAGATCTCTAATTTTCTTTCCTTTCTTCCTTCCTTCCTTCCTCCCTTCTTTCTTCACTCACTCACTCTCTCCTTCTACGCTACCCCCTCCCTTCCTCTCCTCTCCTTTCCTCATTGTAGAAAACAAAACATATTTTTAAAAATGCAATTTTTTAAAAGGTACCCCAGGGATGATAGGGTAAGGAGGTTCTATGGCACATCCTGCTTCTGTTTTAAACGTGCAAAAGCATTTTGCGCTGGCCCATACTTACAACTCTGAGGAAGTGTATGTTTGAGTTGAATGCAAAGAGCACCCAAAACTGGGTAAATGAGTATTAGACCAAGGTCTACAGCTGGTTTGCACAATACAGTTGGTGATGGTTAATTTAATCCACAATTATTAGCCTAATTCATGGCTCTGCTCCTCACCACTCCCTTCCCTTTGGCTTCCCTTCCCTTTGTATCAGTCTACAATCCGTCTCCACAAAGTCTAAGGAGAGAAGGACAGAATAAGCCAAGCCTGTGCACTGGTGCACCCATGGAAGATTTATCAGGGCGCTGCCAGCTGTCACAGCGTCCTGTAAACAGGAAAGGCAGACAAATGAAAAGGCAGAAAAGACAGGAAATGGCATTTTTCCATCCTTCTGCCTGCTTTGACATGTCAACTGATTTGGGAGCATGGCTAACCAAACCATTGTGAAATCAGCTGATGTCATCCATCATAAAGGCTTTTCCCATGAAGCGATATTCCCGGGTCTTCCATCCCAATATGAAAGGCAGAATTTTTATAAGGCAGATGCTCTGCGCTGAATGAATTAGACTGCTTGTAAAAGCAGAGCATAAAGCAAGACCTTACGCTCTGCTACAAGGGCCTTAGAAATAGGCAAAGGGAAAACTCTTTGACTGCTGCTTGCAAAGTGGGGATAATTGCAGAATACCTGCCAAGTTATTGCAATTATTATGGATAAGTCTATAGAACTATCTCCTTATGCATGCTTGCTTAAACTCTCCATTTGGTATAAAATATGATGCATTAATTAAGCCTGCTATTAATTTCTAATCCCACCACTGCAAATTACCATGTGTTGAAGAAACACCACAGCCTCCCAATTTTTGTGCAATTTAAGCATATCGGTGCATCACAATTTTCTTTAGATATGTTTGTTCAATGCAATTATGCTTAACTTAATCATGGTTTACTCCAACAGTTCTCAAACATTTTGGTTTCAGGACCCCTTTATGTTGCAAAAAAGTATGGAGAACTTCAAAGGGTTTCCGCCCTAACTACTGCAATCTATTATATTACGGTTACTTTTTACAGTGTTTTATCATTGCAGATTAGGTTTCCCCAACCTGTCACCCTTCATGAGAGCCAGTATTGCTAGGGATTAAGGCACCAAGCTAGAAGGCAGGAGAATGTGAGTTCTAGTCCTGCTTTAGGCCTGAAAGCGGCTGAGTAATTTTGGGCCAATCATCAGGAGACTTGGAGTTCTAGTCCCACTTTAGGCATGAAAACCAGCTGGATGACTTTAGGCCCATCATCAGGAGATTGAAAGTTCTAGTCAGAGGTGGATATTCAGCAGGTTCTGACCAGTTCTGGAGAACTGGTAGCAGAAATTTTGAGTAGTTCGGAGAACCAACAAATATCTCCTCAGACTGGAGATTTTACAATATCCTTCCCCTTCCATGCTCACCAAGCCATGCCCACAGAGCCAGTAGTAAAAAAAAACTTGAATCCCACCACTGGTTTTAGTCCCACTTTAGGCATGAAAGTCAGCTGAGTGACTTTAGGCCTGTCACCAGGAGAATGAAAGTTCTAGTCCTAGGCATGAAAGTCAGCTGAGTGACTTTGGGCCAATCACCAGCAGACTTGGGCCAGACACACACACACACACACACGCACACACACACACACCTCTATCTATCTCTCCCCTAATTCATCTCATAGAGTTGTGAGGAAAATAGGGACGAGTATTTAAGTATGCTTACTGCCTTAAGTTATTTCTAAAAATAATAAAGGTTGGATATAAATAAATAAAAATGCAAGGATTTTCTGTTGAGAATGTTGGGAATTCTGGCAGCAAAATTCTGGGAGACACCAATTTGGACCAGGCTGTGGATGCATTGGCAACAAAATGTATGTGTTGGGGGGAAGTAAAATGCAAATTAACTAAAAATTATAGCAGCTGCTTTCAGACCCTCATGGAGTGTCAAGTCATGAGCTTGGTCCCTAACTCATGGTTACTGTACATGCGCGTGCAATATTACTCACCCTCCTGCAATACAACATCCTTCAGCTTCTCCAGCCGCTCTGCAAAACAAGCCACGTCAGCGAGCAGTTGTGAAATTTCCTCTGCTTCGGCTAGACTCCCTTCGCTGATTTCATTGGGACTATAGGAACTGAGGGGCTTGTGAGCTTTGGCGAGACCTCTGGGAATAGCAGGTGACAGAGGGAATCCTGCTGCACTGGCATGGCGGCTGAGACTTGTGGGACGCTTCAACGTAGCTGCGGTGGCCGATGAAGACAAATCCACCAGGCTGGAAGTTGATACATCCAGGCAATCTCGCCGTGGAAGCTCCTGGGAGAAGAATCAAAACCATTTTGATTACTGAGAGAGTTGAAGTGGAGGGTGGTGTAGGAGAAGGAGTGGCAGAACCTGGGAGTGAGGGTGGAGTTAAAAGAGGAATCAGCCTAGAATCCCTATATAGTCACAAGCAGATCAAGTCCAACATTCCTTGAATTCCATTCCTTGAATTCCATCTAACTCCAGGCAGGAGTAAAAAAATTATGTGCTGAGGTATGATTAGCAATAAATCAGTTTAATTGGATTTTCATGTGCAGACCTGGTCTTTCATACCTGACATACCATTAGGGATTGCATCAAGGTTCTCTTTGAAAATGCAACAAAGCAGGGATTGCATATATGTATTTGGTATGGTGCATTTTATTGATGTGGAAGGCTATATGTGCACATACCAATAAAGCAATGAACAATCATTATGCAACTATGCCTAAGTTACATCATGACTATTTTATTGCAGATTTATAGGTAGTCTTTGATTTACAATGGCAACTGAGCCCAAAATTTATGTTGCTAAGCGTGGCAATTGTTAAATGAGTTGCATCGCCGGAATCCTGACACTCATTTTATGACATTTTTGCTATAGTTGCTAAGCAAACCACTGCAGTTCTTAAGTGAATCATGGAGACATTAAGCGAATCTGGTTTCCCCCATTGACTTTGCTTGGCAGAAGCTAGCTGGGAGAGTTACAAAAAGCAAAAGCACCGCTTCATAATGCTTTACAGTCCCCTCTAAGCGTTTACAGAGTCAGCTTATCGCCCCCAACAATCTGGGTCCTCATTTTACCCACCTTGGAAGGATGGAAGGCTGAGTCAACTTTGAGCCAGTCAGAATCAAACTGCTGGCAGTGAGCAGGATTAGCCTGCAATACTGCATTCTAACCACTGTGCCACCACAGCTCAAATGGTAATCACATGACCCCAGAACAGTGGAAATGTCATAAATACATAGATCACATGACCATGGAGATATGCTGCAATGGTCATAAGTGTGAAAAACAGTCATAAGTCCCTTTTTTTCAGTGCTGTTGTAACTTTGAATAGTCACTAAATGAATGGTTGCAAGTCGAGGACCTGTAGTAGTATCAGTAAAAAAGGAAGGAGCCAAGTAAACCAAAGGAGTAGATCACTGCAACAAACAATGAAATTCCAATACTGCAGATAGAATTAGTACTCAACATGGCAGGTGCGCTAGCCTCCTCCATAAATGGGGAAAATTCTTCTCTTTGAAAATGTAGCTGCGGTGCTTCAAAGCAGACAGCGTGGCATATTGTGGAACAGTGCCTTTTGCACGCATATTAGGGAAACCCCAGGACTTTCTGTAGCCAACTCCATCATGTATTGACTATATAAATAGTTTACCTTTGAATTTATAAATAGAATAAATAATCTCATATTTGCACACTGAGAATGTAACTGTGATGTGATTTTTAACATTCTTTTTGCCATACTCTAAATCAATGCCAGGGACTGGTTCCATGGAGAGATTTTTCCGCGGACCGGAGGAGATGTGATTTCGCGTGCTACCTGCATCCTACCAGATGGGGCTTCGTTTGTTTGCATGGATTTGTTGCTGGCATGCCATGGACTGGGGTTTGGAGACCCCTGCTCTAAATAAATGAATACTGCAGATAATCTTAGAAATGATTCTAGGTAGACTTTCTGGGAAGTGAGCACCAAACCCAAAGACAATGGAACTTGCAATGATATCAGTCTTATTTTAAAGAATTTTCATTATTTTCATTGCAAAAGAACTAGAAGAAGGCCTGCATTAAAAAAATACACTTTTCATATTTTCCAATTTTGGGTAGGCAGGGAGCACAATTGTTATTCAATTGTTTTGAATATCTTATCCATTGTAACCTATGGGGAAGATACTACAGATTACAGATTAACAGAGTTGGAAGGGACTTTGCCAGACCATTTAGTTGGGTGATCAATCCCCCAGAAACTTCCTCCTTAATTCTGTGATTTATTGCAGATCATTCTATGGTGCTTCCAGGCTGAATGTACAGAGAGGCACTTTTGGCCAATATCTGTTGCACTTCTACGGGTGGAAACAAACAGCACAATGCTGTTGAACTTTAACAATATTAAGACAATATTCTCAAAACAGGTTAGTTTACAGGAAAATGGTCCGGCTATATTGTGATCCATCATACTGTGAAAAAAAACAGCTGTCATCCTAGTCAGAAACTATCATAGCGTTTTCAAAAGGCAAAGCATTTTACACCAATCAGCAATTGTGCCTTGTTAATATAGGTAGAGTGTTTATTTAGTTGTGCGAACTCATCCCGAATATTGTATCATTTGAAATCCCATCATTCAACCCAAAACTTCTGCTTTGATGTACCAGAACAAGGAAGACATTTTTTAGTTGGCCTTCCTGGAAACCTTTGGCTGTGAGTTTGCGTTTCACCTTTAACATGAAACAATGCTTCATTCGGTTAAGCAATTTGTGGGTTTTCATGACATGCAGAACCATTAAATAATTACTTGGAATAGATATGCACAACAGCCTTCTCTAAAAGTGATTGGCAAGTTTGTGGTTCAGGGCATTGTGCAAATCCAGACTTTGTATATATGAACAGACTTATAACCCACTGTTATTACTGTATTTTAAATTGTTTTGTTTTGTCTAAAGCCAGGGGGCTTTGATTATGCCTAGGACTTTATAGTCACATGGGCAAACATGTCATCAATGTTTCTCAACCTTGGCCTCATTAAGATGGGTGGACTTCAACTCCCAGAAATCCCTAGATACCGTGGTGAAGATGGGTGGACTTCTGCCTTAAGCAGGGGGTTGGATTAGAAGACCTTCAAGCTCCATTCCAGCACTACGTTTTTCTATGTTGTTGTTTTTTAAGATCAGAGGACTATAATGACTAGGGACAGAAAGAACACGGGCAGGGGGATCAACAGTATGGAGAGACAATATCATACCAGTACTGTACTGTTTTCAGCAACTCAGAAATGGGTGGAGAACCTCAGCTACAATTGCTCAAGCGTGTTGCAGTGAGTAAACAGCGGACACAGGCATTTTCGTCACCCACTGAGAAACCACACACCCTTCCCCCTCCGCTCCGTTTGCAAAGCTATAAAATCACTGCCTGATGGGCTTCACACTTTGGACCATGTGACACAATTTACTTAATGAAGGTTTATGGAATAAGCTGCTAGGGGTTGGGCTGACACAAATGCAAAACTTTGATGTCGCTCTCAATGGTGAGATGGGTGGCATTTATGTTTAATAAACAAATCATGAACCATGGTTCACCAATCCACAGATGCTAACTTCGTACAACAGCAAAGCCCAAAGGAAATAAGCCCCCAATGTGATTTTGCATAATGGTAAAAAATGAACATTTTATCCAATGCACTGCCAAGATGCGTCCAAATCCATCTTGTTATGTTGCTGTAACCTCCATCTCTTGATTATACTATAACTTTAAGAACTGGTGTTAGGTCTGTTTTCTCCTCTCCTCTTTTCCTACTTCTTATTTCTGCATTTTTCTTTTCAGACTTTAAAGCCCAGAGCATAAGCATTTATTTAATACAGGAAGGTTCAACCTTGGCAACTTTAAGACCTGTGGACTTCAACTCCCAGAATTCCCCAGCCAGCCATCATGGTTGGGGAATTCTGGGAGTTGGTCCACAAAATATTGCCAAGGTTGGATACCCCTGATTTAATGTAATGGTATGCTGTCATAAACTATACAGATTAAGCTCATAAATCTATAAAATGCGGTAGTAGACAAAGCAAGAATGAGCAACAATAAATGAGACAATCACACCTTAGTCCTCCCATGCCGTTGGAAACATGTTTCATTTTTGGAATGCCTATAATGAGGGCGCTAATCTGCTTTTGAGAGGGCATCTATTCCAAAATAGAGGGGCCATAGCAGAAAAGTAGCATCTCCAAGTTCCTGCCCAAATTCACCTTACAAAACCATTAAATTTTACCACAAATTTTTGTCAGGCTGGGTAATGTGTGTGGAAAAGACCTTGGGAGAATAGACACTGCCAAGAGAATGGTCAGATAAGAGACAGCGTAGCCCACAACCCATAGTAGATGGGAGAAGAAGCTCAGAAGAGACCCTCCCTAGTTTCTCAGGCTGTAGGAAATTGAGGGGGGCGGGGAGAGATTGTACTTTCAGACTTGCAAGATTCTGTTAGTACTTTCAGTCTTACAACCATTCATTTAAGTGACAACAATACTGAAAAAGGCAGTGGTGGGATTCAAATTTTTTTACCACCGGTTCTATGGGCATGGTTTGGTGAGTGTGGCGTGCCTTGGTGGGCGTGGCAGGGGAAGGATACTGCAAAATCCCCATTCCCTCCCCACCCCACTAACTTGCTTTCCAGCTCTGTTCTCTTGTGCAGGGCAACCAAAGAAGACCCAGCCAATCAGCTGGGACTTGGAAAGCAGACAATAGATGGGGGCGGGACCAGTCAGAGGTGGTATTTGCCGGTTCTACAAACTACTCAAAATTTCTGCTAGTGGTTCTCCAGAACTGATCAAAATCTGCTGAATACCACCTCTGGAAAAAGGGATTTATGACCATTTTTCACATTTACGACCATTGCCACAACCCCGGGGTCACGTGATTAAAATTTAGAAGCAACTGACTCATATCTATGAGGGTTGAAGTGTCCCTGGGTCATGTGATCCCCTTTTGCAACCTTTTGACAAAGTCAATGGGGAAGCCAGATTCACTTAACAACTGTATTACTAAATTAACAGCTACAGCGATTCACGTAACAACTGTGGAAAGAAAGGTCAAAACATGCGGCAGGAATCACTTGACAAATGTCTTGCTTAACAACAGAAATGTTGGGCTCAATTGTAGTCGTGCGTTAAGGACTACCTATATAATTTTACAATGAAGTAGAATTAGCTGATCCATATGTGATTCTTATCTGGTTTACCCTGCAAGGATCACTGGTTGCTTTTATATGGAAAACAGAGTATCTGCAGGCATTCAGAAAAGTCAAGAGAATGGCTGCACCCCTTTTTATGTGCATCCCAGTTGCAATATCCTAGCCCACATCCTGACATTTTTAACCCACCCATGGATGCCCTGAAGAAAGTTGTTCCGATGAAACCTAAAATCTGAGCCATATAGAATATATGTATGTATGTATGTATGTATGTACGTACGTACACAATACAGAAGCCTAATGATGGCAGATGAGATTCTGCCGAAATGTTGCTACAACTTTAAAAGCACAACTATAATGACGTGGGAAAATACCCGAACAAAGCTGAATGCCATACATGTAAGTACCCGCAAAAACTTAAGAAAAAATAAACACACACACACACACACATTATATTATGGATTATACATTAAAACCAACCAACGTCTTCACTGCAGTGTGTTATAGATACTTTTTTATATTTGTAATGTGCTGTCATTTCAGCTAAGATTATTGAAACCTGTTTTTTTCAGCATACTTTTGAGAGAAAAAGAGAGGAACTGAGAAGATTCATCCTGTATAGTTTATGATTTACATAGGTTTTTATTATTCATTAGCATAGGAATATTTTATTATGTAATACAGCTCTGTTTATTTGTCTGGTTGTTTTTTTTTGCTATTTTAATCTTGCTTACACATAGTAGAATTGTAAGCCAGCTGGCTAATGCTGGAGCAACTAATAAAATGAAATAAAATACACATCCAGGCAAAAGCATTTCAAAGAAACCAAGTTAAATAGGCCGCCATTTATTATTTACTTCCTGCTAACAAGGTTAAGACTGTATAAAGCCGTGATGGCAAACCTATGGCAAGCATGTCAAGAGATGGCATGCAGAGCCCTCTCTGTGGGCACGTGAGCCATCGCCCCAGTTCAACTCCACCATGCATGTGCACACGCGCCTCCTGCCGGCCAGCTGGTCTTCAGGCCTCTGCCACGCATGTGCGGGGGATGGGGCGCATGTTCCGTGGACACACGCATATTACATTTTGGCAATGCGCGTCCACGCTTTGGACACTCGGTGCTGAAAAGGTTAGCCATCACTAGTATAAAGGAATTTATTCAGAGCCTTATTCCCTGCAACTTCTATCATCCCAAGTCAGCACAGCAGTTGAGAATGATGGAAATTATAATCGAACATATGTGAACCACACCAGATGCTACAACCCTCAAAAGCTTATACATGCATTCACCACATATGAACAGTGGTGAGAATCATTAATTACCGTTATGGATCATAACTAAGCCACAACTTGCAAATAAACTATAGTTGGCTGGGTTTGCATGTATCACAAATCTAATTAATTTATTATTGTGGTTATTATCCAGCACATAAATCATTGCACCATTGTTTACAAATTACATTCTCTTAGATTCGCAGCACACTGTAATGAAATGTGGGGATGACATTGGGGGATGAGGAGAAAAAACTGCTGCCATTGAAACTATCAGACAAGAGACCCAGAAGCCCCCAGTAGTTTAATGGTCAGAGGAAGATACTTAGGACAGGCCCACCCTAACAGGTCAAGCAGTTAAAAGTGAGAGTGATATTTTTTTGTCTCTAGATTTTTTGACTCTCTTAATGTAGCCTTTTAATAAAGTAAAATTAGTTTGTCTTATATTTCCTGTCTGATTTATACTTGGGTAGGCTGACACATACATACGGAGGGAAAAAACACTCTGTATAAAGCAGTATTTCTGAACCTCAGCAACATATGTGGAATCAGCTGGGGAATTCTGGGAGTTGAAGTCCATCCATCTTAACATTGCTGAGGTTGGAAAAATGTACAGTAAGGGTTTAGTGTAAGGTGTGAACCCAACTGGGGCCACCAGGTTGGGGATGTGAATCCCGTTCACTCCCATCCCATCTCAAGGGAGACATACTTTCCTAAACATTTGCTTGCATACAATAATCCCTTTGCCTAAAGCTACCATATCTGGATTGAAAAAAATCCAGATTACTGACTGGCAGCAAAACTTTAAAAAATTGCTGTTTTCTAATATTTTTGAGGGTTTTTGTTTGTTTCTCTTAACAGCAAATCTTCTTAGCGAATAGCACTTGATATTTCTGCAAAACCAAATGCTTCGGATATTCTCTCTTATGTCCAAAAGCGCTTAATTAAGGCTCACTCCACTGTACTTTTGGTAGTGAACATGTTGTGGGCCAAGATTGCCTCTGATCAATCTGAGGTAAAGAATACTTTATTTTTATTTTTTTATTTTATTTTATTTATTTTGTCAAACATGTATTAGGTAACAGATATAAGTATAAACATGATTCTTAATATATGAAATAGATATGAATAAAAAGGAAACATTAGGACTGGGACGGTAGGCATGTTGATGCACTTATGAACGCCCCTTACAGACCTCTTAGGAATGGGGTGAAGTCAACAGTCGACATTCTAAGGTTAAAGTTTTTGGGGTTTGGGAAGAGTCAGGTAGTGTATTCCAGGCATTGACACTCTGTTGCTGAAGTCTTATTTCAACACCTCAATGCCTTTACCTCCAACCCATCAAGTTTCAGTTTGCCTCCTACATTGGATGTCTTGTGGTTGATCTGCGTTTTTCAATTAATACCTGAGAGAGTGGCTGCTTAAACAAGCTAGCTCTTCCTATTTATCCTGGCAAGGTGTGAGATAACAAGCTTCTGGCTACGTTCAGTTAGGTCGTTGTTTCCCTCATTTGTCTTAGCTACCAGCTAGACACTTAATCCTCATTAATCTCTCACCTTCCTTTGCTGATGCCGAAACTAAGCAATTTCTGGGCTGAAGGCAAAAAGAAAAAAGAAAAAAAGGATGAAGGACTATGAAAAGGAATGAAAATACCCCATTTATGAGACATCCATGAACTACCGTAACTACCTGCGTATGTTTCTCAACCCCAGCAATTTTAAGATGAGTGGACTTCATCTCTGGCTGGGGAATTCTGGGAGTTGAAGTCTAATTTATCATAAAGCTGCTAAACACAAGTCAGATTCAGATAACAGATAATCAGAGTTGGAAGGAACCTTGTAGGTCATCTAGTCCAACCCCCTTCCCCAAGCGGGAGACCCTACACCATTTCTGATAAATAGCAGTCCAATCTCTTCTTGAAAGTCTCAAGTGATGGTGCTCCCACAACTTCCGAGGGCAACTTCTGTCCCATTGGTTGATTGTTCTCACTGTCAGAAAGTTTCTCCTTATTTCCAGGTTAATTACTATCGATGGAGTGAATATCTAATATTGCAAATATAGGGTCCATTTAATAACCTTTATAAAATTTAAGTGTCCTGGGCATCATTCCTATTGTCCATCTTTTTTGATATCTTCCCGGCAACTGTACAAAATGGTAACACTGAGACAAAGATAGTTTCCCAACCTTTTTTAATGAGAATTGGAAGGACCAACCTGGAGGCAGGAAGCTCACTGCGAGATTAATATTTGCCTGAAGGATATTTGATATTCCTTTCCGATACTTTTTATTTTATTTGCTTGATTTCTGCACTACATTTTAGGGGTCATGATGGGTCCTATCCTTCACCAAATGCATAAATTAAACCTAAGGCAATGTTAATCTAGAAGAAAATAGAACCTTTTAACTTGGCAAGATAGGAGAATATTATCTCTTAGAACAGAGGTTTCCAAACTTGTGGACTTCAACTCCCAGAATTCTCCAGCTAGCATGACTGACTGCGGTATTCTCCACAAGTCTTAAAATTACCAGCTCTGGAGATTCCTATCTTAGAAAGATGCATTTTATCAAAACAAATCCTGACAGAGTTGCTTGACAGTGAGAAGGATGGCATATAAATTTAGTAAATAAATTAAAAGCTGCTTTATTTCTTTGATATTCCTCTGATGTTGGCAGCCAATTAGTCTGTCAAAGATTCCCTTTTTCCTGTCTCCTCAAAAAATTCCCCCACTTTTTCAGTATCTACAAAATCTGTACAGACACATCTCTTTCCTCACATTTTAAACTGTTAAAGGTTTTTTTTAGAGCTTTTCCAAAATGATTCAAAATTAATTCCTATGTTTCATTTCTTATGTTTTGTCAATTGCCATAAATGCTCACCAGAGACTCACATTTTCTTGGCAAAAAAAGAAAAACCTGAGAAGGGGGCAAATCTAAAAGTAATTCATAGGGATTACAGATAAATTGATTGTTTATGTTTTTAAGTTTGCTTTACAAAGGAAAATTCAAGAGTAAAACCAAGAAAATAAATCATGAAATGAAATAAATTTAAAGGACAGCTTTCTGTAATAAAGGGTGTATCATCATTACAGGTATAAATCAAATAAATTAGTTAGGTTCCTCTGGTTTCAACAGAGCCACCAAGAGTCCATGTGAGACCCCTTAGGACTGGACTCCTATTCGAAGTTAGGCTATCAGATATGGACTGCAACAACTCAGGCAACCTCTAGATGGCAACAAAGAGATAGACAACCGCCCCTTGGCTGACTTCTAGTGCTCATCTGGATTTTTGCAGTCTAGATCTGTGGAGCAGAAATGTGAAGAATCACATCCACCCAAATGTCAGCATGGGGGCTGAACTATGCCGAGTCACCACACCGGACTCAGTTTTGCTTCCTCTTTGTTTTATATAGTATATGCAGGACTGTTTTGAAAATCATCCTACCTTAAGCCAGACACTAGCTCGCAAGGAGACCGAATCTAGAACGTTGCCCCTGGTTTTGGAGCCCTTCTTCCGTAGTTCTGCAGAATATGGGCTGTATGTGGACTTACTATTCATCCGCTTGCCAAGCATTCCTCTGATTGCAAAGCATCAGGAAGGGCCAAATCGGCAAAAAAAACCCACCCCACCCACTTTTGCAAAGGAGGCAACAGAGCGGTTTTGAAAACACTGCTAAGAAGTATATTCCACAAAGCTGTTAAATTAAAAGAAAATATCTCCATCGCTGACACGGGAACTGCAGTTTTTTCTTGCCCATCTTAGTTCTGAAAAACCTGCAGGAGGATTTTTTAAAAATAATAATAATAAAAGAAATAGAAAAGAAAAAAAACCCGCCTACTACTAGTTTCCTTTCTCTAACAAGGCGGAGAAAAGAAACCACAAATTGTTTCAGAGTATGTTAGATCTAACAAACTTCCTCTTTTCTGCACGGTGCAAAAAAAACAAATAATCCAATATTGGCCTCAGAGCAATATTTTTCAACCTTGGCAACTTTAAGACATGTGGACTTCATCTCTCAGAATTCTTGAGCCAGTGCTGGCTCGGGAATTCTGGGAGTTGAAGTCCACACATTTTAAAGTTGCCACATTTGAAATACTCTGCATTAGAGTCTGAACAAAGTGTTCCCTTTCTGGTTTACTCAATCTATTTTTGAATAAGTAGATTCCTGCATGAAATGGTTTTTTTATATGGTTTTATGTTTTTTCTTTAATAACCATAGGTGCTTGGAACAGAGGGTAAATATATTTTAAACACAGTAGTAATAATAGTAATGTTATTAATAATTGTAGAAAATGGGAAAATAGTATTATCTATACTGATATAGAATAGAAAACATAATTATTATGTATACACAAATGTTAGAAATTGAAAGATTATGATTATCTTCTATCTCCTTTTTCTAACTCTTAATAAAATAGCCACCATAATAGGAAGTATTCTATCTCTATCCATCATCTCTTGCTCTTTTTAGAATTTCAACTATTATAGACTTTTTAGTAAACTTTTCATGCTTCCCCCTTGGGATCTTGTAACTCCTTACATTGTCCCAAAGGTGCTTTTTCAGGAGGCAACTGGACTTTCTGGTTTTTCTTTGAAGATGTTTCGCTTCTCATCCAAGAAGCTTCTTCAGCTCTGACTGGATGGTGGGGAATGGAAGGATTTATATTCCTTGCAGATAGCTGGCCATTTGCGAATGCTCCACGCCTATTTTCACCACTCAGGCAGAGGTGGTATTCAGCAGGTTCCGAGCAGTTCAGGAGAACCGGTAGCGGAAATTTTAAGTAGTTTGGAGAACCGGCAAATACCACCTCTGACTGGAGATTTTACAGTATCCTTCCCCTGCCACGCCCACCAAGCCAAGCCCACAGAACCGGTAATAAAAAATTTTTGAATCCCACCACTGTACTCAGGTGACTCTGAAGACACAGATAATCCTCCAGGTGACCTCAACTACTCACTAAAAGAATGCAAATGACTAGCTGTCTGCAAGGAGTATTAAATCCTTCTATTCCCCACCATCTAGTCAGAGCTGGATGAGAAGCGAAACATTTTCAAAGAAAAACCAGAAAGTCCAGTTGCCTCTTGAAAAAAGCACCTTTGGGACAATGTATTTACTGGTCACAAAAGAAGCATTCCTTCAAAAATATCTACCTCTTTAAAAGAGGCCTTCCCTGTTCCATATGTATACAGCTCACCCCTGTGCTGAAAGGTGCAATGTTCACATTATATACTATATGTTTAAGAACACAGCTTGATTACAAGCTGCTAGTGTTTTCCTTTATGTTCTCCACCCCGCCCTATTTCTCCATTTTATATATATATAAAAGCTAACGTTTTACAATATTGGCAGGATAAGTAGAATAGTCAGACTTCACCGGCTGAGTTTGTATTCAAGCAGTTACTTCAGAATGTAGATTTCCAAGCTGTTCCATATTGTGCATTTCAACATTTTTGTGGCTACACCCCAACCACTGACAGAATCAACATTTTCAAACTGAGACACATTCTCATAAAAGGAAGCATGTGCAACTCTTAACTCACCCATCCATTCTTGCAACAGCCAAAGACAGGACACTCCATTTTCAAAGTAACGTAATACTAACAATGCGTTTTGTAGCACGATGAAAACCAGTAACTCCTGTCACTATATAGTTGCCAGTCTGATTCAGCAGATACACCAAAGGTTATCTTACATTAACAGAAGCGTGAGTGTGTCTACATGCACGTGAATGCACACACAAACACACACACTCACAGACACAGGGAATTGTAGATGGAAAAATAAAGAATGGGAGGAGACCACAATGAACTGCTAACATTTTGTTTAGACACATTATGCTCAATTTGGAGTCCCCTGGAATTTTTTTGTTCTTCAACTCCCGTAATCCCAAGGCAGCACCGATAATGATTATATTACTAGGCACTGTGGGAATTGAACCTTAACACTTAAGGCACAGCTTAAGAAAGACCAATGTGGGTCAACCTAGTCAGAAGTCAAATCTATGTAAAATACAATGGCTAATTGCAAAGCATAAAACACAAAACAATCTGGCACTGAAAACGCTAATTAATATATGTAAGGTGACAATAACCCATTATTTGAATTCAGATCCCAGGATAGTGAATTTTCATGGCAAATCATGGTATACTATATATTTACGATGCTTAACTTCTTTCAGACCGTATGAATTTATTTTTTTAAACAGCATCCTCTAAGATCTAACGGTTTCAGACGGCCAGAGAGAAAATACAGTAATCCATCTTCATCTTTAATAGTAAATAAAATATGACATTTTTGCGTACATAGCAAAATCTATGAAAAATCCACTTCTTTGCAATTATTAAAGGTGCCATTCTTTCTATCTGGCAATTCTGAGAAGAACATGATTTATGCAACTCTACTTTGGTTTAATCTCATCTGCTTTTTTTCAAAGTCAGATATTTTTTAAGCCGCAAAGCAAAACAAAAAATCAGAAATTAAGAGTCTTTAGTTCAGATATCACAAAACATTTGTATTAGCTTAAAAGTCCAAGATATTTTTAAAAAAATACCGCTGCAATATGTGTGTCACGTCATCATTGTTGTACAATGAATGAAGTCAGGACACACAATAACACAAATAGGTTAGGTTACCTAGTAGTTAAAATATTGATATAATTTCTTTAGAGAAAAGGCTAAGGTGAGCCAAACCATGTCTGATGTGTGTTACAATGCCATCCCTCCAAGAAATACAAGTTTATAGTTCCAGCAAATGGCATTGGCAACTAGAGAAAGTCAGTTTCTTAATATCCCATTTAGGTCGTCCTTGATTTACAACAGTTCATTTAGAGACTATTCTAAGTTACAATGCTACTAAAAAAAGTAATTTATGACCACTTTTCACACTTATGACCACAATCAAAATTCAGCTTGCTTTGCAACTGACTCATATTTATGACAATTGCACTGTCCTGGGTTTATATGATCCCCTTTTGCGACCTTCTGACAAGCAAACTCAATGCGGAAGCCAGATTCACTTAACAGCCATGTAACTAAGACAGCTACAGTGATTCACTTAACAAATGCAGCAAGAAAGATCCTAAAATGGAACAAAATTCACTTAACAAATGTCTCATTTACCAGCAGAAATTTTGGCCTGAATTTTAAGTCAAGGAAGGACTATCTGTATGCACATCTGCCCGTTTTCCAAGGAAATTATAGAAGATTTTATACATTATTTATTGTACTGCCCAACTTACACTTTAGCATGTGGAAAATTTTTGGACCCCTTCTTATTTTTGGACTGAGGTTGAATATTTAATGAACTTAGATGAGGAAACATCACTATGGAGATTAGTAAGCTTTACAAGGGCTTCTGGTAAATATAGATACGATTTTATCAAAAGTTCTTGATGTTTTCCTGTTGTTTTATCTGATGTAATAAATAATATTTTAATATTCTTACTGATTTCTGCATATTTTAATGAACATTATCACTTTTATATAGTTTTTGTCTTATTTCTTATGATCAGTAATCAACAAATTGATTGATTGATCTAAGATAGGTTTTCCTTATTTGCTAATAAAGTACTAGAATTCAGGGGTCATCCAGACAGAGAAACTGAATGGGAGACAAACCAAAAGATAACAAAGGGATGTACTGTGTTTGTTGCTGACTGTCACAACTTTTTTGAAGAAAGGATTAGATAAATCAGTGGAAATAAGTGAGAAAGAGAATATAAACTATTCTTGATCATGGATATCATTTCTCTATTTTGTTGCAGCTAACTTTCTTGCTGCAGGAGGTAGAGCGAACCCTTAGGGGTGACTCTAACACGTAAGGGTGTGAAAATACCCTTTAGAGTAGTTATTGAGCCAGTGGAGTGAGGAAAACCTACTCCCCTGGATTAAAAGTTTAAGTAAGAACAGAATGATAAATCTGTGCATTGAAAAATGGCAAAATACATAACTGAGGAACCACAATACAGGTAGGATCATCTGGGGGAAATAAACAAATGTAGGTTGGGTCCTGAGCTCCCAGCAGATAGTAAAATACTTTTGGCTAAAGAAGAAAATATGTGAAACTCCTTAAGGACTGGGAAATAGGTAAGGTTAGTGTTATGTTTGGAAACAGGCATAGGAGTTTCTATCTGGAACTGGTAAGATTAGGGCCGTGTTCTCCATGGAGCCCATGGGGACACGTTAAACAGTAAAAGTTGTCTTTAAAAAGAAAAGTGGAGTTCAAACTTGCTCATGAGAGCCCTGGCCAGGTGCAAACGAGGTGTGAAAGAAGGTCTCTATAGATCTTGATCTTTAAAAATAAGCCAACATCGGAAGGTTATGCAAGCAGTCTGATTACAGTATAAATGTGATTACAGTATAAATGTGTGAGTACGTTGATGATGAGAAAAATACAACAACATTGGTGTGAATGTCTGTGTGTTGACCCCCATCCCAGATTGAAACGAGAGTACAGAAATTGCATGTACGAGGAAATGAGAAAGCTCTCATGGAGAAATGTGTGTGATTTACTAAAGCTGTACATCATCAACGTACCCACACATTTATACTGTAATCAGACTGCTTGCATAACCTTCCAAGCTGCTTCAATGTCACCAAACTTCTACCTCTCAGTAATGGAAAATATAGGTGGCTCAGAAGGGAATTACTGGGTTTCTTGGTGTTCTTTGAATTTGCTTTACTTCTCCACGGATGTTGTTACCTAGCCTGATAATAAAGTGTCTGCAGGAAGAGAAACAAGCTCAGAGAACATCAAGAACCCAATAAATCTATCACTGAGTACCATTTCCTTCATTGACAAGAGTTTTTCCATTGGAGCATCTGGTTGGCCTCTGTGGAAAACAGGATGCTGGAGAAAGTTTTTATCCAATCTATTGCAAGTCTTACATTTTTACTTTGACTTTAGAGTTCAGATATGCAGTTAAAAACTGCCTGATTTTCACCACGTGCAAAGAATCTGGTGGGCTGTGACATTCTCTTTGCTACAGAGTATGAAAACAGAAAAGAATTCTTGGCTATCTATGATGGATTGTCCCAGCCAGGCTGGTCCCAAGTTGTACACACA